GTGGGTATTTTGAAGACCTTGGTTGATGTTCGATGGCATGCTGAAGATAAATAGTCTTGTGTTATTTCATTATTTGTATTATTTTATTTTAATGACAGCTCACTGCAAGTCAGAGCGGTTTAGTTTATTTGGAGCTTTTGTGAATGCTTGCCATCCAAATATTTTGTGTAGACATTTGTGATGTGCTCTTCGTATAAGGTTGACCTGTAGAGCGGCGGGTTTTGCTGATCGATAAATTCTGGCAGGGGTCCTATCACAACATCCCGCGATGGATTGCAAAATGCCACGATGGAGAGACGAGTTTGATCAGGCTGGACAAGGACCCGGTGCTCAATGCTCTTGTATTTGCCATTGCTCAAAATCTGGCATGAAAACCATGATAGAAATCAATCCAAGTCAATATAATAGCTTACTTCAAGCTGATCAGCGATGTTCACAATGAATGCATTCTTTATAGGCTTCAAGTCGTACCAGAGATCACCTTTCCTGGCCTGGAGTCCACCAACTTGATCTTCAAACAGGATTGTCAAACCGCCGCTGTCGGTATGGCCATTCATTCCAAGAGCAAGATCAGGATTTGGGCACGGTGGATAGTAATTCGATCGCAAGATCATCTCTGAGTCTCCAAAAGATTTCGCGAGGCAGTTTGAATCCAGCCCGAGCCCTTCTGACAAAGCCGACAACAGAGTCTGACTCAGATGTTTCACGCTTGAAACATAGCTGGAAGCGAGCCTCCTGCAATATCCAAGAAAAAGCAATCTCATGAAATCCAGATTGATCAAGCTCATTTACTTGTAGCACGCTGGTTTTTCCGGCCATGGATGCTCCTTTTCTCTGTTTGAAAAGTAGTGCTGAAAGTGATCGTGCCACTCCATATGAGTCTCTTGAGAAGGTGTCATACTTGTACAGTACCGCACTGGCACAAACACCTCCTCCGTATAATACTTCATCTTCTCCTCAATAGGAAGATCAAAGAGCTCAAGCACTCCATAGACCATGCCTTGCATCGTTTCAACAGGAATCCCGTGGTTGATCACCTGTGGCATGTGACATCATATTATGAATGATCAATTTTAGGTACGATACATTCAAAATACCTGAAAGATGCCCCATTCACTCGAAGCCATGCACAAAGTTTGAACAAATTCCTCTCGGTCACTCTCCAATGCAGCCATGTCAATCACAGGGATCTCCACTCCGGGAACGATCAAATGCTTCACAGCTCGGTGGCTGGGAGGTTTGATATAACGGCCAGGAATGGTAACGAGGCCATTATCCATGAGAGCTTTGACACCAGTGTGCTGATTGGCATTTGCAACAAAGGAAGGCATAGCTGTAAGATGAATGAGATTGCATAGAATTGGTTGGTTTATATAGTTGATTTTCCATGACGTTAAAATCCAAGTCACATGGCCGATGATTCGCGAAAGATCTTCTAGGTGGCAGCCCACGTGGCCATCATGTCAATTACTTAAAACAACACGTATTTGTTTTAATATTTCTCGAGAGCTGTTTCGACGAAGTCGGCAGGCAGCAGCAGCGAAGGAGCGAGCACAAGATGTACCATCGATTTTCTGCATCTTTCAGTCTCATGCTTGGCAAATATAACTAAATAGATAGTCCATTGTCAAGCATGAAACTGATGGATGCAAAAATGCAAGATTGAAAATTGAAGCCGCATCTTGCATATCTCGCAGCTCCCTCCCTGTGCGCTGTCCAGGCTTGCTTGGTTTCCAGAAAACCTTTGTTTTCTGGAAAGCCGGGTAGAAAACCTAGTCATTGAGACAAGAAAAAACAGTGACTTACGAAGTGCTAAGTGCTGATTGATATAGCTACCAGGATCATGGTTGGGACGAGAACACACCTCTACAACAGTCGATGGATAGTTGCATTGGCAAGTTTCTTCCTCATGATCTCCTCAGGAGGATCACTCAACAATTTCAGCCTCTTCTCGCAGCATCTCAAGCTATCCCTCGGCTACAACCAAAAGAATATCAACACCATAAGCTTCTTCAAGGACGTTGGCACCAGCGTTGGCATTCTCTCCGGCCTCGTTTACGATCTCACCGGGCCCTGGGTCGTGCTCCTTCTTGGATTCGCGCTAAACTTCGCTGGATACTTCACGATATGGCTGGCTACAACGCAGAGAATCGCACACCCCCACGTCTGGGAGCTGTGCTTCTATCTCTTTATGATCGGCGCGTCGGCAGCCTTCACCACCACCGCTGTCCTTGTGGCCTGTGCCAAGAATTTCCCCAAGAACCAGGGCATGGTTCTTAGTCTTTTCGACAGCACACAGGGATTGAGCGTTGCGATGTTCACTCTGCTTTACCAGGCCTTTTTCTCCCGCAGCGATGATTCCTTCGTCCTTTTGCTGGCCTGGTTTCCATCGCTCTTATGCCTTCTCTTCGCGTTTGTCATTCGATCCGTCCCACTCGACGGCCGCTACAATGACTCGAGAACGCTCTTTGTCTTCTTGTCGGTAACCTTGATCCTGGCTGGATATCTCATGGCGATTATCATCCTCCAGCATTTCGTGCGCCTGGAATCTAGGATCATCAAGGCCTTCTTTTCCATCATGCTGCTCATACTCTCCATCCCAGCTCTTGTGGTTTTGAGACAGGAATCCAAAACCTTCCATCGCGAGGTTGATCTAGTGGAGAACGCAGCTCAAGCAGATAATCAAGATCATGGCAACAACGTTGTCAACGTAGATCCTCCGGATCATGGAGCAAACGCCGCTGCCCCAGCTATCGCCTCGCACAGCGCGATCTTCTTCTTTAAAGGATCGGCCGTCAAGCGTGGAGACGATTTCACAATCCTCCAGGCGCTCTGTAGCATCGACATGCTTCTCATCTTTGTGGCGTCAACCTGTGGCATTGGCGCTGTGCTCACCGTGACCAACAATTTCGGCCAGATTGGAACGTCGCTGGGCTACTCCCAGGCCGGAACAACCACTTTCATCGCTCTGCTTAGCATCTGGGACTTCATCGGTGGCGTTGGCTGCGGCTTCATCTCGGATACGTGCCTCGCAAGCTATGGCGTCGCAAGGCCTTTCTTTCTGTGCCTGGTTCTCTTGCTTCTCTCGCTTGGGAGCTTGATAATCGCTCTTGGGCTTCCCGGAGCGCTCTTCTACGGCTCGATTTTGATCGGGCTGTCAATCGGTGGGCAGTGGTCGGTTCTCTACACCATGATAGCCGAGATCTTCGGGCTCAGGTTCTATGGAACGCTCCAAAACGTAACTTACGTTGCTAAGGCACTGGGAACTTATGTTTTGTCCGTCCGGGTGGCCGGAGTTCTATACGATCGCGAGAGTAAGCTTGGACCGGACGGTGGTGATCTCCTTTGCCATGGATCGCATTGCTACAGAGCGACCTTCTTCGTCATGGCTGGACTGTGCTTGTTTGCGTCCATTGTGAGCTTGATATTGTCCATGAGAACAGTAAAGTTTTATAGCGTCACTCTTCGAAAGAGATTAATTGGTTAGATGCTCTGTAAGGCCACTCACTGTAAAGCTTTGGGATTAGTAGAAATGCTCAAAAGAAGCTCACGCCTCCATACGTTTCTCGTTTGACGATAGAAATATACATCGATTATATATAACATTTCTTTTATCCTGATTTAGCCAAAAAAGGATGTCCGTTTAAGAGAAATTTCAGAAACCCTAATTATTTAGTAATAAACCTTAGTTTTTAAATACTCACTTTGATCTTTTGCACGTCTAAGGGCTATGTCTCAAGAGAGGATTGGTTTCATTGGGATTCTTTGCTGGTTAAGACGCTTTTTCAACCGATTTTGTCTAAAATGCCCACGCCTCACGCTGTTCTTGAGTCACTAAAAGACATCAACGTTTGATACGGGAGACATCTAATGGGAAAATGCTCTCGATCTTCAGCTGCATGCTCAAGTGCCTCGATCTGGTCCTCACCATAGCTTGAAACTGTCCGGGAGTCACCACACAGCTCTTATAGTGCGAGACGCTCTAGCCAGTATAGAAGCAAGCCGTGAGGATTAACTCCGGGAGCTCACCGCCATCCAGACTTTCGAGAGCCCCCGGCTGGTAGTGACGGACATGGTCGTGGATGGCTGGCTGGAGTTTGAGGCCGTGGCTCGGATCGCTGTGCACATCAAGGATGGACGCGCTGCTGCTGGAAAAGACCGATGGCTTCTAGCGTGGTAAGAAAAAGTTCCATTTAACTGATTCGGTTTCCTTTTGTTAGAGCTATGGCCCCGGTGACTCATGAAACTTTCCTGTAGAGATTTTGGAAGCCACTTCCAACGCACGTAAGTAGAACTGTGCCTGTCGCCGGGTCAGGCTTGATACTGAACTGCACTCCCAGGAATTCTTTGATGTGTTGCAGCGTCTTGATACCGTAAGAAGAGAGCTTCCCGACCCTGACTTTGGAAACATCTTCCGGGCACAGAGCACAGAGGATGAACAGCAACCCCTGTATGGCAAACAGGAAAGTTTGTGAGATCGACTTCTTTCCTTTCCAGCTTCAAAGATGGATACCTGGTGAGTTGAATCTACAACTCCTCCCAGCTTTATCTCCTGTAGCAAGGACATGGCTGCTTGCGTCCCCAGGTCCTCTGGAAGCTGGAGCTCGGATGCTCCTGAATGCGTAGCCGCACACTCGGAGCTTAAAATGCAGCCGGTGGTCGTTTCTGCCACCAGTGAGATCCCATAGCCCGGAGATCTGTGCCATGACAAAGGAAGCAAGATGAAAAAAGTTTACTTTGCAGCACAAAATCATGGAACTTACTTCCCGGACTCCGAACCAGTGTAGTGATCGGTAAAGATGTACACGTCGGGGAGCAAGCGATTTAGCACGCCACGAGCGGCATCGACCATTCGATTGGCCATATGAGGTGAGACACGTGTGGAGTAACTCACTCCTCGGATACGTTTCACCATGCCCTCGTCCACCCATGTAGCAGCCTGGCGAAGGATTCTTAGCGAGGAGAGAAAGAAAAGAAGAGGAGTTTGGAGAAACTGACCGTGAGGCTCTTGGGGACAATGGGAACTTTGAGGACGACTTCGCCGCCACCCAAGGGAGGAGCTCCGCGGGCAACAACCTTGAGTTCTAGGCCTTCGATTGGAACACCAAAGTGCTTGAGCATTGGCAGTGTTGCTGTGCGAAAGGTGTCGACGCAGGGATCCCTGCTGTCATTTGTAATGCCTGTCACAGGCCACAAAGAATTCTAGTTAACAACCGAGAGACTTGGAAATCTAAACACGAAGAAGAAAGAAACAAGGAAAAGGAAAAAAACGATATGGATATGGAGGAAATCATACCTCTCAGTGTGATCGAGAGCGGCTTTTTTCCAAACAATCCCAAGATGATGAGAGGCTCGAGAAAGTATCCAATTCCGCGACCCGTCCCACAATCGTGGACGAGGTTGCGTCCACCAGCTAAAATCCCTGGCTTGTATCGCAGCTTCGTGCCTGGGCTGCTGAAAATAAGAGATCAAGGAGCGAAAGACGAGACGCTTACCCGTCTCATTGATCTCTATCCCGCAGCCATTGCTGATCTTCTCCACCAGACGGAGCAAGCTCGCCTCGAAATCACACAATCCAGGCGCCTCACTGTCCGCGCGGATGTCATCGATCCTCAGTGCGGTGTTGGAGAGCGTCGAGAGCACGAGGCGCTGCCGGAAATGCTGGGCTCCTTTCATCCGTGCCATAAACCCTAAACCACTGCCCTAGTTTTTCGATTTAAAGGTAAAGGCAAAATTGGAGCAACTAAAAAAACTAAAGTAATGATATGTAAAAAGGAAAGAGTGTATAACCCTCAACTGATCACTCCTTTTAGTGTTTATAGTGTTTTCGGGTAGAGATTCGAACATCTTGCCTTGGGTGAAAGAAAGCGGCGAAGTAGATCGAATGGCGCAGTGGAATGACGTAAAGCGAGGAATTTTGACA